ATATATATATATATTGAATGAAAATTAATATTTATTTACTAATATGATTTATCTCATATGATTATTGATTTGCAGACTATTGAATTTTATGACAAACAAACCGAGTTAATTCAAAAGCCAGGCACGGAAAAAAATAGTAACTCGAATCAAAGTTGATTAATCGTTATTACTACTGGTGATAACTGATGGTAACTACTACTGATATAATGAAGAAAAAAAGAAACTGTAAAATAATTGATTAATAGTCAATAGCAATAGTTAGTAAATGCATTAATAATTTTAATTATTAATTTTTTTGTCTGATTTAGTACTATATTGTCATATATTTCGTGCACATATCAGTCGTAATCCTTATAAAATCGTCACATGTACACAATTATTCGCAGGATTTTAATTATAAAAATTAAGCTTTATTTAATATAAATAAGAATTTATATATATGTCTAATGAGAAATCTTAAGTAATTTCAATTAAAATTTTGTGATACTTTTTACTGAAACGTAATACTCTAAGAATTTTGTAATTATAGTTATTAATAATTATATCATAAATACTTAATTACATATCAATAAATTTTATTTTTTCAGATTATTGCGACCTAATACATATTCTAGTCACATACAGATTTTATGCTATCTGTATCGATTATCTATAATTAATACAATGCATTTTTTATTGAGACATTGTGGGCGAATATGATGGCCAGTAATAAGTTTCTCCGACATTAATTTCAACACTATAATGTCTACATTTGCGCATATAATTAATAATTAATAATTAATAAATCTATTGATTAAGATATTTATTGAAAAAAAGATGACAAATATAACATAACTAACGAAAATACTGACGTGTATTATTAAGAATAATATAATATATGCAATATATTGCAACTTATTATCTTTGTGTTTTATCGTGTGCTAGATATAAAATTTAGTAAAACAATAGCAATAAAAAGAAGAAATAAAATAAATGTAATACTTTTTTTTAATTTACGAATTACTTGAAAGAATTATATTATAGTTATTTAACAAAAAGTTTATTTGAGTATTGTGTACTTTAAAATTTTATTGTTGCAAATTATCTATTTTTTTATAATCATACAAAAAATAAAAAAAGGTTTCTTATTTTTGTTATTTATGTATATCATATTTAATTATATCTTATAAAAATATGTTTACTTGTGACGTGCATATTATATATAAATTGTGAAATATTTAAATTAAAAATATAAAATAATGATTTTTATTTCATCTTCATCTTATTTTTTTTTATAATAATGAAGTATCTTCAAAGCAAGAATTATTAAAGTCAAAGTGTATTAATAAACATTAATATATTAATTTTATTTATTATTTATTAAGAATTATGAATTCTAATTATGTAAAGCAGAAGTACTGAAAGATAAAAAACTTTCTTTTAATAAAGCATTAGATTGCAAATGGACCGCCTGTTGCGCTAATTTGCTTTAATAAAGAAATTTGTTTTGCTAATGTTCACGTTAAAAGCTGATACGATCCCTTTTAAAGTTTTACCATGGTATTTAATTCGTGCGCTTAATAGGTAATGGTACTACAAGTACAAAATGTACTTGTTTCAATTTTGTAAAACATCGTTTGATTACAATATTCTTGAAGCTATTTATGTTCAATTTTCAGAGAAATATTATATAATGAAATGTACACGAAATTGATAAAATTGTAAATATATGAATATTTATTATTATCTTCTATGTATTATTATTATCTTCTGTATTTGCTTTATCGTTCTATATAGAATATTTGCTTATTAAATGACAAAATATTATCTATTGATATTAATGCAAGCTTTGTTATCTCAGCAGTTTAATCATTTAAGTATATCAGCTAGATATAAATTATAAGCTTTGATACAAACGACCACTAACGATGCTAATTAAACCAAATTAATCACAAAGTGGTCGGGCTTTCTCCGTTAGGAGCAGATAATTGTCGTTGAAGCATAGAAACCAATCTGCTTACTAAACAGACGAAATGAATATGATGACTGAGAAACGAGAATAATTAAACAAGAAATTATGCATACATGTGAAACAATTTCCATTTTGCAACAAATTGAATTGAGTATTCCGGCGTGTTCTGCTTAGTAGAAAATAAGGTGATGTTGCTTTGCCAAATTTATCGCAAATTGTATGCTAAACGCATTCATAAGAGTTGTAAATCTTTTCCAATTACATCGAGTATAGACGTACGACTACTTTTACTTTTCACTTCAGTGAACTACAAATAAAGTAAAGAAATGTAAGTACATGTACCAATTGAATAGAATTGAATAGAATCCATTTAATGAAGGAAATATTGATTAATAATGTGAAAAAAAATAAAATTGAAATGTGTTAAGATATTCATGATTCTTTTTATATCCCGATTTCATCGTTTTTACTTTTCTACGACGAGAAGTTATTGACACTTGAAAAAGGAATCATACTTTTTCGAGCAAAAACACTTATCTTTTAAATATATATTTAACATAAACTTTACGAATAAAATGAAATTTAAATAATACTAATTCAGATTTTTTACCCTATATTGAAAGTCACTTTTAGTTGACTAAAATTATTGTCACATATTTAAGAATTAAAACAAAACGGACATAAATATTATTTTAAACAACACATTTTTCTCAAATATCTATCTTTTTATTTAACTAATTTCTATTTTTTCCTAAGCTAATGAAGTATTTTCTCTAATTTTGTATAATATAATTTTAAAAATTTATCACATATTTATTTTTGTGAATAATCTGAATATAGTTGCCGAGCAAAAACTTTTTAAATGTTTTGTAAGATTTATTATTATTAAAGCTTTAACAAAAGAGGTAAAATTATAAAGAAAGAGAAGATACATAAATTAATATTTTCTTATTACAAATAGAGATTGTATATCCAGTCAAATTTGTTAAAACAAATATATGAAAAGAAATAGAATGTTTCCTGAAATAAGTCAATAAAGTGTTATCAAAATCTGAAATAATTTTCATGATGCAAAAAAAGAAGAAAAATACGAAGGGTGTATAACATCGCTGTAAAGCATCATAAGCTGTGTCATAAAAAACATACCTTTCGTAATGATCGTCAGGGAATAATTAGTAGAGATGCCGGATACGAAGAGGTGCGGTCCTTTCACTCTCGAGGGTGTGTGATTATTGCACGCGTTTCTCAGAAGAATCTTTTTACAAGGCGTTATGAGGTTG